GTTTGTAAATTTAGTAAGTAGTATAGAGCAATAAATTTTTATTTATACTCTTTCAATAAATTCAATTAAAGTTGTCAATTTTAATGCACATTTGATGCGAATTTGTGTTGTAGTAAAAAAATATAATAATTTTTTTAAAAAAACTTGAAGTTGGTGTATATAAAATTAAATATTTTTTCGTTTTTCCTTCTGCATTTTTTTTTTCTATAATTGATTATTGTTTGAATTTTTGAATATATAAATTATATAGTGAACTATATCACTATTTAGATAGTATTGACATAAATAGTGAACTATTTCACTATTTAAATACAAAAATAGTGAACTTTATTTTAATATAATTAACTACTTATTTGATATAATGAATTATAAGTTTCTTACACTGAAAATACGTCATAATAAACTGTACTTGTTATTATATTTAAATATATATAGAATAATGAACTATATATGTGTTTTTGTGAATATAACAAATATAGTTGATTAGTTGTGAATAAAGTTAACTATATAGACAACTATATGTTTATATATAGCTAACTATACATGGATATATAACTAATTATACTTAAATATAGATATTTATATTTCTAACTATATAGATAATAGTAAACTATTCGTGAATATAACTAGTATAATTGGTTGTTTGTGAAATTTTTTAACTGTATAGATAACTATATGTGGGTATATGGTTAGCTACATATAAATATATATAAGTAATTATATTAAAAAATAGTTAGTTATATATTTTTTTTATTTGGTCAACAGTTATATATCTAACTATATATTCACTTATACATAAAGAGAAGACAAGATAATATTTAACTATTCGTAAAATATAACAAGTATAGTTGACTATTTGTGAAAAAAATTAACTATAAAAATAAGTTAACTATATAATTAATAGAAATAAAAGTCTAGATAAGTATATTTGGATACATAATTAATTGTATATATGAATATATAATTAATAAAAATTAAAATCACGCTAATTATTGTTATTTTTTTCTTTCTAATGATGCAAAAAAATATATATATTATTTATCTTGAGTTCTTTTTTATATGAAAGAGAAAGAAATTGATGAGAAAAAGAATGTATTAAATGAAATAATAATGAAAATGAGATATGAGGTTACTTACAATAAATTTATTAAGGGTAAAATTAGAATCTCATGTAACTAAAATGTTAGTTTCTAAATTTTGTTTGATGTGATGGTAAATAGTCAATTATAGAGTCAAATTTCTATAAAATAAAATGCCAAAACACATAAATATTTTGTGAATAGTCTAAAAATCTTGGATCGATAGTTTTGGTGGCAAATTATATGATCCATATCTTATGTAGAACTATAAATTGCCCACGCATTATGTGGATTTAAAAATTAACGTGGTTAAATATGCAATAATTCTATTTTATTAATTATTTGTGTATTTAATATTCCAAAAATTTGTTGTTGTAATAAATAATTATCTAGGTTAGAAGATTAAGCATTTGGACTAAATTGTTAGACTATATATTAAATCTGAAAATAAATGAGAAATTTTTTAAAAATGCCATTTTTCAAGTGTCACTTTACAAAAATGCCATATTTTTAAAATCTTTACAAAAATGCCACTTTTTCAAA